ATTAGCTGATTTTATTTAGATGAAAGTAATACGATTACTTACTAATTAACATAAAAGAATAGTATCTTAATATTCTAGCAAGTTAAACGGTATTTATTGATCGCTATATGACCTAGTTTGTCCAGACAATAGTTAGAAGCAAACATGTTCAAGAACTAAATGAACTTTTTTAGTTTTGTAATGGTAGTTCCTGCAGCTAGCATTTTTTACACTTTGTAGGAAATGAATGGCGATTTACTATGTGTATTAAATGTTCTACTTCAATTGAAGCAACTAACACACATATCCTATTTACACAATTTTACATTTACACTTATTAATTATACACGGTTCTTGTTCTTTCAATTTCATACAGATTTTTGAAATAATAAAAATTTAGATAATTTACATTTTGAAATATTTAAAACACACAGTTGGTATTTTTTAAAAACTAATAAACAATACGAGTACTTTGTAGAAAGTACTTTTTCACATTCATTTTAAATATATTTTACTTTTCCAAGCCAAGATACTTTAAGCCTGATCAATAATTGCCTTAAAATATAATGGCCTTGATACATTCATAATATTCATTTATGCATATTTTTTATATCTTCATTAAATGGTATGCTAATAAATTTCTTCTGTATTACAGTGTCAATTGAAAGACAAATAAGTAGCTTACAAGTTATTGTTACTTTTATGATTGAAATCTTTTTACATTATATATAATTCTATATGTTTTTATGTAGACAACTGTAAACATCTAAATAATACTTGTAATTTTATTTTCATCATTTTTTAAATGATGAATGATAAAATGTTTTTAAATCTTGAATGTGTAATTATCATTGTCCCAAGTACGTTGAGACGGAACAGGTGTTATACATTTTATTCGTTCTGGAATAATTTGCTTTTTTATGTTATATTATTTATCGCAATTTATAATTACATTTATGTGCACTAATAGATTTAAAAATGCACAAATTAATCGTTGTTTACAGATTCATTTTTATATGGGATGTTCCAGAATTCACAACTTTCTTCTGAGGATGAGAAATAGAATGAGATTCTGAGTAAGTTCCTGTTCCATACCCTCAGAGGAAAGTCGTGCATTTTAGGAAACTTTCTATATCTTTCATCAACGCATTTTATTATTGATGTACATGTGTCATTTTTGTCTCGGTGTATGAAAATATTATTCCTAATAACACATTGTATGCTTCCATACAAACATATTTAACAAATTATTTA